TTACGCGCAAGGACACAAACGCGGCGCGTTGTTCTGCAATAATGGTAAATAGCTGCAACTAGAGCAAATCGGGGCATCATCGGGCTCAAACGATGTCCCATGTATGTTGAAACTTTCATCAGCGATGTAATCTTCTTATAAATCCTAAATATATCCTGTGTGTTAATAATCGGCGGTGTTGAAAACTAACCAAGTTATTTTCGTTGAATCTCATTATCGTACTTGCATAAATTAAATTATGAGACATAACCTAGTTTTATCCTAATTTGTTTCACAAAAACGTGTAAACATTGAAACGTGTGACGTTGAATTATATTGTCTGAATTTATAAAAGGATCATATCCGTCTGAATTCTTGATTAATGAATTTCGTGCAACATATGCAACATTTTTCAATTTCTTCGAATTCTGCGGCCGACATTCTTGCACCAGTAAGAAGTAACGTTGTTGCAACACCGATTGATGTAATACTGCAACGTGGACCGACGCAGAAAATTGACTACCCGGAATTACTTACATCGCACGCCATTTTTTTTTGTTGTCACTGCTCTCGGCAACATGTGCATACGCATTCGGCAATCGGCGTTCAATCGGATGCTTTGTAATCTATTACGAATTATGCAATACGCGTGTCCCGGTAAGTAAATGATTAACGTTTTATGCCGTTAAGAAAAAGTTCTGCTTTCCTGTATCATGCATTTAATCGGTGACTCACAATTAGCTGCGTAATGCTAACGGCTATTTAAACAGTACCACTACACTTCCCTTACGCAATGAATAATAATACTACATGTACCTACGTAATATTGTAATATCGCATAATAATTCTATACCGGTCGATAGTCTAACGATTGTGAACATATGTTTCAGAAGTAATTTACCATCGTATATATACCATATGATTTCATAAGAGAAACTTAGCGTAATCTGCCGTCAATTTATATTTGTATACTTGAGCTATCTTCTTACTCCTTAATTTGAGATTAATCGTATATAATAATAACTACTGGTATTTTATTACACTTGTAATTTCATGTCGGTAAAATGATGGATAAAAACCGATACTTATATATATGAATGAACATTAATAGCATTATATGTGAATGTGACAGGCAAATAATCGCTTCGACTGACAACGTTTCATTTACATGCATAATATGAAAAGGATGCGGTTAAGATAATCGCGTTGAATCAATGAAATATGCATTTCTTCAAAATGTAATTTGAACATGGAGACGTAAAGCATGGGGATCGCATGTCCGAGATCGCGTGCAATTTATTACGCGAATGTCTTGTTCTTATTAGGCGCAGTGAGTTTTCAGCTGACCGGGAGTTATGTAATTTACATAACATTTATGGCAAAAGTCGGCATGGATTACGATAACGAATGCCGCAATAAGGGATACGGAGACGGGGAGTTAGAAAATACTAATGATGGTGACACGTTAGCAGTTGCATCGTCGCGTCAGGTCTGTGCAATGAACACTTGCTCAATTTGACATCCATGATACCCCGGCTGTTTGCATTTGTCTTGTTTGCTGAACACTACTAGATCGCACGAGTGTCATTACGCAACGATTGACGTTCGTACGTACGTTGTAATTCCCTCCTTTCGATATGATGATGAGCGACGCGAGTGAAACGCAACCGCGAAAGTATGCTAAACAATGTTTGGCACTGATTTCAAATAGTTGCTCGCCAATTTTTCTTCGAGCGGGCGCAAATTAGAAAACTTGGCGTAAAAGGAAAGGAAGGAAAGAAGCCTCTTCAAGTTCTCTGTCCTGCGTTCTTTTAGCGCGTGTTCGTGCGGTACATACGACGATGTAAACTTTGCTCTCTCGGGTTTTGTTCCAAATTGGGAAATACATGTACTAAGGGTGTCCAGCAAAGATATATCGAAGTTACCTAACAGATAAACTAAGTTAAATTGAAAGCATTCGCTCTCATAGATAATAGATTCTTGATTAAGTTTCCGAGATTTTGTTTATTTACTTTACTCTAAGCGCGCGCGTTGTGCGAAATACGTACGTATTTCAGTATACACGGAGAGAATTTTCTCTTAGAATTTAGCCTGAAAATTATGATAATAGTGGGACAACATAGTATTTCAAAGAATTGTATATTAGTTTCTTTAATTTACTAATATGTGTCATAAAATAAGATATGTAATACATTTTATTAATTTTACTAAAGGTATAGTAAAATTTCAACATTTTAAAATATGTTACGCAGTTTATGATTCTTTATTATTTTCAAAGAATAGATGCTAAGTAGTCATGAATATATAAAATAGCTTATACAATTTTTACCATACAGCATGATATTTTTAATCTGATTCAGTCGCTTATAATTTTACCAAGTAACATAGTAATTGATCGACTGTAATCGATATTTATCGATTATTTTCGTTGTACTTACTCACTTCAAAACATTTTACAATCTGCATTATAATTTTTACTACATCATTTATAAAAAGTCTCTTGTATATTTCAAAAAATCTATCGTTACTGATAATATTTCATTATTGTCAAGTTGTCCCAAGCTTATTACCAAACATGATGAAATTTGTAATGAATTTTGCGATAAAAAATAACGAAAAATTCTTTCCATGTACGTATACCAGTAATTCGTATGAACTAAGCTTTTCCTCTTCTAAAAATACGTAATCGTTGACCTAAATACATGGCTTGAAATATATGGCAATGCTACCTATCATCCGAGAACTGTCTCATAGTATCGATTCATTGCCACGGCGTAATGTGTAGCGTGAGGTCGGGCAAACATACTACATATATTTGCGGGTTTGCGCGATTGCCGCTTATACTCGTGGCAATTAAGCGTTCACGTGTGCAACACACTTTCCGCACTTTCTTTTCGCGGGTGTACCGCTTACGCGCTCACGTAACTGGTCACGTCAGATGCGCATAAATCGTATTTCACGTGCAACTATCTCGACCGCATAATAAATAATCTGCCGCGGCGATCTCGTTCGATCGAGTCGATTAAAAAACAGTGGTACTTTTCCACGCGCGCGGAAAAGTACAATTTTCGATCAGAAAGTGAGAAAATGAAAGAGTATTTTTCCATAAATGACGGGAGATCCGTGCCTTTCTCCGTAACGTTCCGGTTAACGAGGTCCCGAACTTCGGATGTATATAACCAAAGTTTAACTGCAATCCGTGGTCGAAATTAACCAATTCTGCCGGAACTCTTGCTTTCACCCGCACGTTAGAGATATCGTACGACATAACTACTGTCGTGGATCGAACTTTTCGAATGCCCAAACTGCCAGTATATATATATATACGCGGATAATACTCCTAGGTCTTTCGGTTGAACGTAGTTTCAAACGTTTAAGCTCTTCCTCTAACGAGAGCTTGAATTAATTTCCACTCGTACATTTAGAAGTATATAACTCGTTTATAACTGGCTATTTTAATCCTATGAGATTCACAATCTCTTCGATTAAAAGAATTTCTGTTAACTTCATTTATATCGCTGATACAAAATATCGTAACAGCTGCAGGATTAATTTATTGATATATGAAAAAAATATGAAAAACATATGAAAAACTTATGAAGAGAATTCTTTTCTATTTGCGATATATTACAGGCGATAAACCCAGATTTTTGAGAATAAGTAAATGCTATGTAGCGTTTTAGGATTTACTATGAGGCATTTTTAAAGGGAAGAGTATATATGTATATATTGTCACCGCATGATTCCGGCGCGCTTTAGTTCCGAGAATTATGAGAGAGCTTGTAATTAATTTCTTTTTAAGCTCGCCGTAGAGGTACGTGTCTAATTACAGCGCATTTTTCTTGTCTACGTCGTGCATGAATTCGTTACTCAAAATGAAATGATCTTCTGTATCGTGTTGTGTAATGTATGATTGCAAAATTTCTGTCTGATCATATCGCGAATCTTAAAGTTAGGAAATAATGCTCTCTTACATAAATGCGAGTTTCTCCGTATTTATTTATTAAAATGAATGTAAGCGTAAATTATGTACGTTTTATTTGGAAAATTACTGGTTAATACAGAGCAGTATCGATCGCGATGGCCATTGAAATATATCCCTATTTTACCTCTTACAAATTTCATGCCGTAAAGCTGGGCGTATATTTTCTAATAGCCGATAAAACAACGTTATGCATCGAACAAAATAATGCTTTTAAAATGCACTTCATTCTCAAATATCGATATGAACATTATGTACTCGAGATATCGCATCTTTTAATTGAAAAAGTTAGTTTCTTTTTAATTACACAAAATTCGTTTACTTTCAATCTTTTTTATACGCCGTAAATTCGTTTACTTTCAATATTTTTTATGCACCGTACATACAGTTTAATATTGAAATTGTTCTTTCAAGTAACGCGTATCAAATATAGTAAAACGAAATTACATTCGAATTGAAAATAAATATTCCGATCTGTAGGAAATAGATTTTTCCTGAGCACAGGTTTCGGTTCTTCTTCGATATCGTAGGAATATCAACTTTGATATTCAGGGATACGAAGGGGAGGAGATACCTGCGTTTACCAAAAGTGCGGCAAGCAAGTTTCATAAGTTCCATCAGAGTACTGTGTCCTAGAATGAAATTTTCCAACTTACGCCGTTAGATAGCTCAAGCGCTTTTCGCACTTTAAATCGCATGAATAATATTTTTCTATTATCGGGGCCAATTTTATCTAGAACGCCATGGAAGATTGTATGATAAAAACGTATTTAAATAATATCGTATTTAAATAATATCGTGTATAAATGGTTATATTTATACAATATACGTACAACAATCGAAATAATCAATTTGCGAAATGGAATTAACTAACCATTACGTCACGATTGCTTCTTTCCGCTAGATAGATGCATTTTTCAACGATATTGAATTATTATGCGATGCAAAAAGTCGTATCACGAACTCACTGGCCGCGCTGAACTACGGCTTTTCAAGCAATTTATGGTTCGGTTGTAAGAGGATTTTTAGGATTACTCACGAAAGGACGTAAAATTTGGGATCTTGCCAGGCGCAGTAATTGCTGGATGGCACGGGCTTCACCGTAACAACGTGAATTTTCGGGCCGCTCGATCGATAGGTCGAATTGCCCTCGCGTTCGACTCTATCAGCACTGGCCCTTAGCATCGAGGTCAGGGATGTGCGATCGCATGTACCTGGCAAACAGAGACCCAAAAACACCTGACGTGTCTGGAAAGAAAATTAAATGATTTCGTTAGAGAAGAGTATTTTCTGTCCTTTGACGAAAATTATTTCATTAGTAAATGAATCTTGCAGGATAGAAGACCTCTCTTCCATTTTGATGCCTTTATATACTATGGCAAAAAAATGCTAACCACTTAAAAAAAAAGATGCTGGTGATCGATTTACTAAAAGGTACGCTGACCATTTACAAAAAATCTAACAGAAACACGCTTTTGGAGAAACCTCTCTCTCTCTCTCTCTCTCTCTCTCTCTCTCTCTCTCTCTCTCTTTCATACATATTTTTTATGATTGCATTGCGTGTTTCGTTGCTTACACATTTTTACACGTGAAAGGGAGAGTGACAGGATTTAGATTTTCCGTAAGAAGATTTAAACGGCTGGTAGTTTTTCACATCACAAAAAATTCATGTATTCTCGCAAAAATATAGTGATAGTCGAGCTCGTTCAATGTTCGAGATTATAATTTTCATTTAGTCGCGTCGACGCGCAGTAATGGAAATGAGAACGCGTGACGATGAGAAAAAACGTAGTTCAAACTTTTTCTATCAGTTCTTGTAATAACGCACCATGTGCAGTTCTATTTTTTTTCTCTCTTACCGTCACCGTCAAGAGAGAAAGGATTCCAGCTCGGTATGCTGAATTTATTGAATTTAAAAACTGGTCCTAGATCGAAATACGACGGATGCTTTTTTCTTTTAATTAGTAATAACTTACACTCGGTAAATTGTGCGGATCATAGTCTGCAAATTGCGAAATTGCTTAGGCGGGAAATTCTATTAATTAAGCATGTAATGATATCGTCAAACTCCACAAGGATAACAAGATTAAAGGCGAGTAATAGCGGATTTCCAGCGTTTGAAACAACTATCGACGAACTTTGAGATTAAAGTCAGCGAATAATCTTATTAGTGCAAATGCCGAAACTTACTTTTCCTATAGGAAGTAAACTGCCAGCTGTTACTCTGACTTAACAAAAATGCACCGATATGTGCTCGATATTTTCTATTACTTTCGATAAGTTCAAGATTTTCCAATATTAAAATTTCATTCAGTTTTTATTATGATAGATATATATATATTGGTTTTTATTATGCGCACAGAAAGAATCATATTGCTGAAGCATCTAAAAATTTAACTGGATACAAATTTGAAAATATAAATTTGTTGGACTATATCAAAATAATTATGTAGGACGCTAATAGCTGGTTCCTAAAATATCAAAATTTTTTACTGCATTGCTCATCATATTTTTATAATTATTTATATGATTCGACAAAATTATTTTCAGATCTGAAACTAGCTAAATTTTTTAATATTTCGCAAAATCGTTCTTTTCGTGCACAAATGATTTTGTATTTTTTATCTGTACGTAACATGTTATTCTTTGGATTTCAAATTAATTATTAATAATAATTAATAAACAATGGATATTTTAATGACGAATAAATTTTCTGTTGGATTATTCAATTTGATTACTTGTATATTTCTTCACGCTTTTAATTTAAAAATAATTAACGAATATTTATATAATGAAATATTTAAAAAAGAAAACGAAGAACTGCATTTTTACAGCTTTTATCTTCTTGATGTATAAAAAATTTTTTGTTAATTTATGATTTATTAAAATAACCATCCTATTTTCTCGGGTAAAAATTTAGCAACAATCAATAAATCTGTATAAATGTTTCGGTTCACACATTCCGATTCTTTATCACATACCATTGGTCGTTTGTGTCCTGAGTTAATTTTTATTACTTTTACAAGTATTCAAAAATTATTAATTCTCACATATTTTTTATATGTAATATAACATTTTTCGAATATACACACAATATTTAAAGTTGTGTAGTAAAAAAGAAAAAAGATATAGACCATCGCGTTCAGTAAAATGCTTCTAATATTTTAGAGAAGAGAAATGTACAAGGATGAATGATTCAATCGTGTGTATTAGTTAAGTTCACTTATACGATCTACAGTTTGTGTCAACATTTAAAACAAAATCAAATTTATAATTTTACATGCCATGTCGCACAAAATATTTGAAGAATCAGATTGCATACATATATATATAAAGTATGTATTAAAATACATATATATATTGTATATCAAAAAACCATACATACAACGTACATAGGTAAAATTACGAATAAAATTTTTATCTTATAATTTAACATGAATCATAAATCTAAACTTTAACGCGCTAATGAATCTATAAGACAAAGTACGTATAATAAGAATACATAGAGATTGCTTTCATATGTATCGAATAAGGTTTCGCATAAAAATTATTTTACAGAATATGAAATAAACGTTTTGCGAAAAAATAAACGATGTAAAGGCAACGCTCGGTGCGTGCTTGAGTTGAACGGGACGAATGACGTAGTGCGCGGCGCGAGCATTGACCTCACGCAAGGTTACCGCGCTATCATTCGTACGTCGCAACGCGAGCGAGACGGTAGTGGCGCGTGCCGCTCTGCGTATCGTTATCTCCCGAAACGTGAAATATTACAATTAGAGATTATCGACTGACGCGATTGATTCACAGATTCGATTAAAAACTCACAAGCGAATCAACAGCCACGCGTATGTCGAAATAGATTTTCATACTTCTCCATTGAAAAAATCGAGTCAATGAGAATTTGGAAATTGTAAATTACTTATAACTTTTAATACATATGATGATTTTGCATCCTTTCCTGCACACGATGAGTCGATTTGTATTTTGGAATAATTTTTATAATTTTTACTCTAGTATAAAAAAATTATTAAATAATTCTCATATATATTTTAATATCTTTAAAAAGTATTTATGCAGTTATGTATTAAAAAAGGGAAGGATAGAGACCATTATTTAGTCAGGTGCTTCTAGAATTTCAAAGAAAAGAAATGCGCAGGACACGAATGACTAAATTATGTATACTAACGGTTAATTACAAGATAGAAAAGTTCTTGAGTTTCTACTTAATTGTTAATTGGAAAGACGTTCAAACATAACAAGTAATCCTTATCTGCATGATTAACCTACTGATCTATTCAAAGTAAAATTTATTATACGATTGATCATATCATTTGGATTAATATGATTAACTCTAGCTATACAGTGAGAGCAAAAAGTATTCGTACAAGGACATTTTTTATAGAAAAAAGTTTTATTTGTAGAAAATAAACATTAATGAGCAATTTTATACAATAAATACATTCTGTTCTTACATTGACAAACGAGCTTCGCATATATTCTTGATTTTAAAAGCTAAATTTCTCGACTATACGAATACTTTTTGAGCATCCAAACAATAGAATTTTTAATTTTCGCTTATTTTTCAGATGATATATTTTCTATAATTAATACACATTTTTTTGGTATATATAATTTTAAGAAATATACAGTCTATTTTATTCTTTATGAACAAATGGTTAATTATCCAACAAGAAATGATCATTAATTAAACGTCGAATTGACGTCAAATTGATGTTGAAATCATCATATTTATATCGATTCGGCATCAATTCGATGACTCATTTCTCGCTGGATAATATTTACTTTTTAAAAATAAAGTTTTTTTAAAAAATATTTTCTCTGTACGAATATTTTTTGCACTCACTGTATATATACATACTGCAGTTCCAGAAACCCCAGTGCAATTTGCTAAATCGAGATTTTTTTCGTGACTCACTGTATATATATACATACTGCAGTTCCAGAAACCCCAGTGCAATTTGCTAAATCGAGATTTTTTTCGTGTTTCTGAACTTTTCTTTTTCTTTGAACCTGTATATCTCGAAGCTCCTTAATTCTATCGATTTTTACACATTATGGACTTATTCTTTAATCAATTTTTCATCGAATTGAAAAAAAAGAATTAATTGAAATATATTTATTTTTACGGAAGTTACGGTGACAAATATGGATGAGATCCTGAGTGTATATATGTATCAAGGATAGAAAAAAGTGTGTAGCTAAGGTTAAAAAGCTCTAAAAAATAAAAAATTTTTACAAAAAAAGATTTTCCGTTAACAAACAAAGTTATCAAATACCATAGAAAAAATTTGTTAAATAAAATAACTTATTAGTAAGAAAATAAATTATATTTTGAATCAAATAGAACAGACCCGAACAAATCAGCAAGTTAATAAAGTCTTACAATTTTAACGAGAAATATATTAATTATCAATTATATAAAGACACCAGAAATGTGAATTAAAATTATTACCGGATATAAAATTTTTACAAAGTATTAAAGTCGGAACGCTAACATGTCGGTTGACGTGCGACCTTGATTCGTTTTCTTTTTGTGTTCTGTATATTGCTCGCTATTGTTTGCACAAGTTCTCAGCGTTATTATTCGTATTTCAACATACGAATTGGCAGAAATCATTGAGAATTGCTCCGTGTCTCGTTCCGTTTTTATTCTTCTAAATGTTGAATTATAATTGCTAATCGCTGATGTAAAACCTCATCATTTCTTACACATTTATCGATGACAAGTAACGCTCATAAAAATCTGCGCGAGTAATAACTCTTAGAATTTGTAATGAAAATGATTGGCACGAATACCAGATTTAATAGCTTTTTTCGTAGCAAATAGGTATTTTTCACATGATAGTTTTATTTAAATTCTATTCAAAGTACGAACATAAATCGAGGCTGCGCTCGGTTTAGATGTTCACGCGCTGTAAAACTTTATTTCTTTCGCATATAATAAACGATAAAGATAGAATGAAACTTACAGCATATAAGCGTCTAAATCGAATATGAATCTAATAGAATATAGATTTTTAAAAAATTGGAAAGTCGTGAAATACGTCATTTAAATAATATTTAATTTTGTTTCAGATACGAGGATGCCTCTTAAAGTATCGTGCGATTGTCGTATTTTAATAACCGGTATAGTGCTATAATAATTAATCGGTTTCGCGAGTGATAGTGTGTGAGTGCAACAAACAAATCTGAGAGGAGGAAGAGGCCTGGAGGCATCAGGCGCCGGCGGAGCAACCATGAGGTATATTATATAATTTATTCTTTATGAATTATTTGTTTTTCAAGAATTATATAATTATTTTACCAAATCTTTCCTTGAAAAAATGAACTAATATATAAATTCAATATGAAATAATTACTTTTTAAAATTTTGACTCTTACACACATGCCCTTTAATATAGGTACTTATTGTTTATCGAAATTAAGAGTCCTTTGTTCTTATCAATTTTACTTTTTAAAGTTAATTATTTTGATTGATATTATATGGTCTGACTATATTTATATGTTACAGATCAACGTAGTTACGACTACTCCGCTGCTACGCTTCGTATCGGTGAGTTTTAAATTATCTTTTATTTTAATATGGTACAATGGATCTGTGAAAATTATATTATTATATATAAAAGATATGAATAATTAAAAATTAAAGTTAAAAGAGCATGAAAGTATTATCACGAATAAAGATAATACTTCGCAGATTGGCTTAAAGTGGATAGGCTAGAAGAGATTATAATGTTACAGTGCATAATCCCAAAATATGTAGGATCTTTTTGTCGATTTATTGTGTTTATATACAGAGCTTATAAAATAAAGCTCAGAATGTGCATACATCGTTTATTTTCAACATGAAACTTTTTTATTAAAGTATTACTATTAGATAATTACGAGATGTATTGTATTGTAGCATAGATATAACTATAGGATAGATATAACTATAGGAAATAAATTAAAGAAGGATAATAAAAATATTCCAGACTTATTTCTACTAATTTTATTGAAAAAAAAACAGATATTAATTATATTTTTTGTTTAACGATAATTCGTTTTTATTTTATTTAAAATAAAATTCTTAAAAGAATTTAATAAACATTTCGTCACAGACGAATATTTCAAAACCCAATTTTGTAAAATACCATTTAAGTTATTAATGTTTGTTATTTACATACCAATTATAATCAAAATACTTAATATCTTAAATACATAAGATAAAGAGAGAAAGAGATATAATAAGAGAACAATAATTTTTATCTTTACTATTTTAATATCTTTGTTTGTTATCACGATTAAGCGTGGATTATTTACAGTCGTAAACAATCATTGTGTAACAATACGTAGCAACTAATAATTGATGTACAATTCTAGAAATATATAGATATACAATGTCTTATAACGATTTCGTCAGCTTGCTCGGGGTACCGGTGCGTGCTTAATTAATTCCAGTGCAGTGTAGTTTATGTACTATCGCAATATGCAAGTACGGAATGATGAAACTATGTCGTCGAATAGGAAATACACTAATTCACAAAACGCGCGTCGCGTATTGTAATAATCCGCTTCGTTGCATCCCGTTATGAATAACGATGTGGCAATGATAAGATCACAAGTATATAATTACTGATGAAAATAATTAAGAATTAAAATGGTTATTTGTAAATTACTTAATGCATCTTTTGTGCTAATATATCATTTCGACAAAAAAATGATATATTATCAGCATTAGTCTGTGATTGGAAATAATCTTATTAATTCAATACTATTATTTTAATGCAACACACACAAGTATGTTTCATTATAATGATATTATTGAATTGCTAAGATTATTTTCAATTAGAAATCTAATACTATTAATATAACTTTTTTTTTTATTAAGAGCAGTTAATTAGGTGAAGTATAAAAAACGTACATATTTATTATCATACATTAAAAAATGTATAATATATATAGAAAGATACTTCTCAAATTTATTTAAACCAATTATATACATACATAAATGTGGGAATAAAAGATTCATTATCTGTTATTTAAGTACTTGTTACTTAAGTTTTATAGTTGCAAAGATTTAATAATTATAACGTGGTAATAGCGTAAGCTGATTATTACTCACTGAAAAGTCGACCTCTTTCGGGAGATTTAGATAAAATCTTGCCACGTGAAATCTCAAGGAAAAAGGTGCTTGCTCCTCGATGTTCATTATAGTTTTTCTGTCGGTGATATTGAGCTCCCTGCAAAGGGTGATCGAGCCCAGCCAGAAACCGTTGCCAAAGTGAAATTGCGAGGAGTAGCGGCCACTCGCGTCTGACACTGAAAAGGAAAGCCAGACGAAACGGTGAAAAATAATTGTCAATCATCGGGGCGGAACGAGCGAAATAAGCGTGCCACTTTCGTATGACATTTATCACGTGCCCCTTACAAAGGACGTGAGAAAGAAGAGACTTGTAAGATTATAAAACAGCTAGGCATGACGACGTGCGACAAATTTTGCGGAAATATTTGCACGAACAATATGCGTGGCGTTTTCTTTTTCGGGAAAGATATTCTCGAGATCTTTCCGGAACGGTAGCTACCCGGATGCTGCGTCTCGGTTACGGTCGCTTCATAACTTTTTTCCTCCGTTTTTCTCTTTGAACGTCTGTCACCGTCTGCACCGGGAGCGCAATAAAATTTCGTTTGTCTCAAGTTCCCCGTGGAGTTTGATTACACGGTTGTCGGTGGAAGGTTCATTGTCAGTTACGTAAAGCGACTCGTGTTGATCACGAGAGTAGAAAGTGTTGTCGGGGCTCTCTGCATATGCACATGTTCGCATCAACCGATCACCACCGCAAGAACGTAACGCGCTGCTCTGTTATCGCGAAAGTGATCAATTTTGTGCGATAATCTGAAAGTATTGGTATTACGCAAATGGAGACTCGTGGAAATTTTAAAAGGCTATAACGTAAACGCGGCGTTAAAATAAAGCGTACTGCATACTTTCGACGTTATAGACGATAATAATTTCTCCATCTCGTTCCAAGACGATGTGACTTCTCAGCGAAAGTTAAAGTTGAGTTAAATTGGCAGACGTCGTAATTCAATTTCCATCTATATTCGAGATATATTGCATAGACAGGAAGAGCTATAAAGTCATTGTAGAATTGTTTTGAGACGTAAAGTTATTGCTACATTTTGGCGATGGAATTTTCAACAATGGCGTAACGCGTCCGACTGATTGATGGGTAATCTGGCTTTAAGAATAATGACTCGTTGTGGCGTGTTATGACAGTCGCGAGATCAAAGCATCGAAAGAGATTGCCTAATGCAAGTCCTTTTTCCGCGTAGCATTTGGAAATAATCTCCGCAACAATGAGACACGAAATTGCCGATGCAACTTTTTATTGCTTGTCGCGCGGTAACTTGATAATTGCCCAAGTTTCGTTTATTCCCATCGTATATTTCGCGATTGCATTGCTTAACGCAATTATTTCCGTCGTCTCGTAAAACGGTCACTCTAACTTTTTCTGACTTAAACGTATTTTAAAACTTTTCCATACTCGACAGACACGCATGGTGTGTGGCTACAAAATTGCATTTGATCGTTCGAAAAGTAAATCACGCTCCAAAAATTTTCTCATGTGTATATATAATTACGTAGTTTCTTTAAACATCCCATTTCTTGCATATTCAAAGGATAAGTGAGTCATTAATAGAGTCAAGGATAAAAAAATTGCTTCCGACAATTAGTGTCGCTTTCTAAGTATAATTACAGGCGTGCGACTCTTGGCTCGTTTAAAAGCTGCTATCGCATATCTTGGACCGGCGCGCGCGGTGGTGCGAAGATGCTCCAGCCGGGTGTCGCGTGTCGCGCTGCTGCGATTGCAGTTTCGCAAGTTTTGCCACGATGCGAAATAGGACGGCGCGGCCAATTGGGCATTGATGTGTCCGACGTTATTACTGCGGACATCGATAATCCGAACGTAGCTCGTGACCGGAAATCATTGTAAATCCGCGCACCGCGAATGTGACTTTGCAGCCCGTGAGCTGCGTTGCAGCTGCATGCTTTCATCGAACCGGCTACTTCAGCTTCCCAAGCCTTTCTCACTTTCTAAATCGCGGACGGACGGTCCCGATAATGATATCGTACACCACGGCGACGTTATTAGTTAATCTCGTGAAGTGACTGATTATGTCGCTTATGTAAAATAATTCGTGCAGGATGTACCCTCTCATTCCTTTAATTATCAATTATGATCCTTTAATTAAATTTCATTATGCGATATTAGTATACATATATAGTTTGAATTGAATAGAAACACGTAATAATATTTTACAATACTTATATATATATATATATATATATATATATATAT